CCGTTCATCATCCCTACTTGGCTCCCGGCAGCCCCGCCGGGGGCTTCGTGCGCTTCCTGCTGCTGGGAGCTCCGAGCAGGGCCATGCCGTGGCTTCTCAGCAAGAAGCGACGGCAGTCGCCGTCCAGCAGCACCAGTGGGCAGCCCTGGGCTGCCACCAGCTCCACCAGTGCCTCCGAGCTCAGGGAGAGGGGGCTGGGCAGGCTGCACCGCGCGGCTGCCCGCGGTGACCTGGCCTGGCTGAGGCGCTGGCGCTGGTATGTGAGGGCAGTTGGCATCGACAGGCAAGACCAGGAGATGCGGTGAGTGCTGTGGGACGCTGATGGCACACCTGGGCTGCTCCTGAGCCAAGCTGCAGCAGTCCTTGGCAGCCCTCTCTGAAGGACAAGGCTTGAAAAGTGAGATGTGCCCTGTCAGCTGGGAGAGTGAACTCTGGAGCTTTTCACTGCTTGGCGCTGCCGGCTGGGCTCGAGCGCTGTTGGAAACACGTGTCCCCGAACTGCCGCTTCACCATGGTCTCTCTGCAGGGCTGTTTTGCAGCTGCTCAGCCCTCACCTGTTCTCTTCTGCCCTGTGGCTCATCAGGGAAGGATTGCAGCAGCAGCAGCAGAGAGCAGCAAGCAGGAGGAGCAGAGTCTGGGCAGGGTCCCCAGGGTGCTGGGTGGAGACACAGCTTTGGCTTTTCCTTTGTCTGTCCAGGTTAAGAGCGTCTGTTTAATTTTTAGGACACCTCTGCATCTCGCTGCAGCAAATGGCCATGCAGATGTCATTCGATATCTGATGAGAAAGAACAGCCAGCCCAACCTCGCTGACAGCTTCAAGAGAACGGCACTGATGAAGGTGTGTGAATGCCTTAGGATCTTGTAGGTGGGGTTAGTGCTGCTGTGTTAAAGAGGAGATGTCTGGCAGGATTCCTTGCCCCACAGGCCCCCAGAAACATGCAAGTTGCACCCAGCATGGCATGGGCCTCTGTTAGCTAATCTTTGAAGATGTTCCTCTATCCCAGCATTCAGGAGCTGAGGGAGTTGTGACAGAGGGGAATGTAAAAGTTGCAAGTCTTTCCCTTTCTGTGTGTTGTTCCCAGGCAGTGCAGCAGGAGCAGGAAGAATGTGTTGCTGTTCTGCTGGAACACGGTGCCGACCCGAATCTGGCGGATGCTGACGGCAACACTGCCCTTCACCTGGCTGTGCTGTCTAAAAATACAGCTGTGGCAGGGCTGTTACTGCAGCATAATGCCAAGAGTGATGCTCAGAACCAGGTAACCTTGGCATGTGGGTAAAGCTGCTCTTTCAGACAGGTGCAGAGCTTGTCTGTGTTTTTCTAATGGGGATTCTTTATTCTTTTAGTGGGGATTTACTCCCTTAAAACTTGCAGCCTTCCTCCAGCATGAGGAGATTCTGCAGTGCCTTCTGACCAAAGCAGCTGACAGACATGCTCAAGCCGAGCCTGAGAGGTGAGGGGTTTGTCAAACCAGCACGCAGGTCTTCTCAGTAGTCTGAAAGTGGGACTGAGAGGAGGGGCATGGCAATGGGCTTGGGAAAAGGAGGAGGAGCCCCGTGGAAGCTGTTCCTGTGTGACTGGTGAAAGCAGGTCTGCACTTGGCTGCTCTCATAACTTAGGGGCTCGTCCTTTGCCCTCTGAGGTCTGCGAGAAAGCCTTGTGTGTGGTGCCCTCTCCCCACACAGCCCAGAGCCAGCGGGACACATGCCATGAGCTCAGCAGCCGGGCTGCTCTGCAGGACAGGGAGGTTCAAGCCAAGGCACAGTTGTAGCCTTGAGTGCTCTGAAGGGAAGCGTTGGCAGAAAGAGAAGCAACACTGTCCGAGGGGACACGAGGGGCTGAAACCCCACCTGAGGAGAAAACTTCCTGCCATGCAGATGGTCAGGGGGTGAACGGCCCCGGGAGTTTGTGCAGCCACATCTGTGGGGACTTTGGAGAGCAGTGCAAGGAGCCCTGGACAGCATGGCCTGACCTCGGAGTTGAGGCTGCTTTAGGGAGGCCCCTTCTCAGCTGAATCCTCCAGTGCTTCCATGTGCTTGGCT